GTCAATAAGTTTGGTATCAAACTATAGATTATAATTCAAATTTTAGAACTGTATATTTCTTAATTTGTTAATGTGTGTCACGTGATATGTTGAATGCGGCACTGGTTCAAATTAGATGTTTGCAAATTCAAAATATTAAGTCTATAGTTTCATACAAATTATAAACTCAAATTACAGATATTGAAAAGCTAGAATATAAATAAGAAGGTATTATCTTTTCTATTTGCTAAGATATTGCAAAATTTCATTAACATTTGCTTACTAATTTAAAAGTTATAGCATGAATACCATAACAAGCACAAAATAGTTACAAGGTCAGTCCTAGGGACTGAACCTGGGTTGAAATAGTTACTACATAGTATGAAGTGAAAAAATTGTATAGTATTCTGAGCATTAGTTTTATTTCTACAAGTCACATTTTATTGTTTAAGTCTGCAAGTCCTCTGTGATTACAAAAAGAATTCAATGAAAGCCCAACGCAGAAATAAGCATACCTGTATGATCAAATATTGGTAAAAAAACATGTAATATTTTAGATTTTGAATGAAATATGAAGTTCAACATTGTGAAGTGTATTAATATATGAACTTAAGAGTTTCTTTCCTATTATATTGCTTTTGTGAATAAAATATTTTTTTCATTCACCCAAGGCATATCTTGAGGCTTTTTACAAGTTCTGTAAAGAGACAGGAGGAACAACAGCTGATGTCATGTGTGAGATCTTATCTGTGAGTAGAGAATGTGTTAATTTCAGGTAACCAACCACACACATCACTAGTGGGGTCCATATACTGCATTATATTTAGTAATTTTATTTTTTTGCTTGTTACAACACTTATTTTCTCTCTGAAATACATAAGAAACCTTAGCAGTAATTACTGGGATTAATAAGAATTTTAATCTATTTTTGTTTTACTCACCTTTTACTGGGGGTTAGTGCAATGAACAAAGTCAAGGAACCACAAATAATTTGATGTGTAAATAGTTTAGGAAAATATGTTGAAAAAAGCTTATGGAGTCCATATGGACTACATCAGTAATTCTAGGGTTAAGGAATATTAGAAACAGTACGTTTTATAGATTAATATTCTTTTTCTTGTCCTAAAGCAACTTGTTATGCAAAACTAGGTTTGTAAGAAATGAAAATCATAACATGCTGACTGTGATTTCCTGTATCTGTAAAGTTGAAAAATAATATTAAGTAAGGGTATGGAGTTTACTTTCCACAAGTTAAAGGATCACATAAATACCAAGAATAATTTGGTTTTTGGAAAAATATTTTCATGCATAATAAGTAAAAGTATGGTTGTATCTTCTAGTGTATGAGATACTTATATAATTCTTATGGAGAATTACTTTAACTATATTATTATGATGAAACTGAAGAGATGTTTGTGTGGTAACATCTGTAATGGGACAAGAATGCCCTTTAGTAAATTTTCTATTGATCTAAATTGATGTAAGAGGCATCTCATACCATCAAAAAATTTAAAAGTACTTTCAGTGAAAAAATTTTACTTTGACAAATTGATAAAGGGCACATCTATGTATATTTTTTTAATGAAGTTAGTAAATGATCTTTTACTTATTGTCACATTTAGTTTGAGGCTGATCGTCGAGCTTTTATCATCACCATCAACTCATTTGGTACAGAGTTGACTAAAGAAGACCGTTCTAAGCTTTATCCTCACTGTGGAAAGTTGTATCCAGATGGTCTGGCTGCTCTGTCCAAAGCTGATGACTATGAACAAGTTAGAGCTATTGCAGAGTACTATGCTGTAAGTAAATTTAAAATGAGATTTTTCACAGTTGAAATTGCAAAATTTATTCTGTCCAGACTTTTTTTTTCTGTAAATGTTCAAGTAAAACAATTCTTATATTTTAGAATAGCTTTGAATCTGTCTTGCTTGTACGTAACTAAACAAAGTTAAGTTCAAGTTAGTTATTGTGAGAAAGGTTAGGTTAGCACAAAACATACAAAAAAAAATTAATCCATCATTAAACAATAGATTCAGAAGTATGAACAAATTGTTCAGCTCTCCATAAAATCATTCTTTGGTAAAACCATGTTGACAAGACAATAAGTTATTCAAATTGACCATTAAATGTGGAGAGTCCACTTGATAGTTATATCTGGAAGTAGGATACAATTACAAAAAAGCATTACATATATATATTTGATGAAATTAAAAGAAGGCAAGGTCTAATTAAATTCAAGTAATTAAACAAATATGGCTGCTTTATCTGACAATGTTACCATAGTTCGTATCAAGTTCTATAGTTATAAATAATTAATAACATACAGTGTATTTGCATTTTCATTGATTTTTTAAACTACAAAATTAAATTTAAAGTCGCTAATCTAATCCTGATTTTTGAAAATGAATACAATGCACAACATAAGTTTTAAAACACGAGACTTCCCGTGAGATGTATGTTCAAAATTATATGTTAAATGTCTACAAGCTAATCAAAAAAGAATAATATCTAGTTAGACTTAGCATTTGTAATTTTATTTTGACAAGTTAAATTTGGTCAATTGCAAAATATATATATATTGTAAGGAAGAAGTTTGATATTCGTTATTAGGTATTTTTATTACACAGTTTAAGACTGCTACACTAGCATACAGTGAACGTAATACCGCTTCCGCAGGAAAATGGCCATATTTGAAACAAGTGTAAGGAAGAACTGTAAATGGCAGATAATAAAACATTTAATCTCTTTAACATGTGGATCATTTGTACAAATACTTTTTCTTCCCTTACCCCATTTGAAATATTATATTTAACAGTTTAGCAAATTATCTGCTGAAGTAAACAACTTCTCATTCCCTACAAATTATTATAAGTTGTATTTCTATGATTTATCATTACTGGAAAAGAAATGTATATTCTTTAATTCAACTTTAAAATTATGGAGAAGTAAAACGTATTTAACAAATCTATATTTCAGAAAAATAGAAAAGAATAAGTGATCTTCATGCAAATTATTGCAATTTGCAACAGGATGTCATATGGAATAAGTTCATTTGTCCCCCCCCCCCTATCATGTTTTAGTAGTATAAAGTATGAATTAAAATTTCTATTTTCAGGAATATTGGACATTATTTGAGGGGTCAGGTAATAATCCGGGAGAAAAAACTTTAGAAGACAAATTCTTTGAACATGAGGTATGGTATTCTTTTTGGTATTAGGAAATCATTATGAATACTTTTTCTTTTTTTTTTCAAAATAGATTACATTTTCCATGTGTATAACAATACAAAATAATTATGATGACAGGGGCTGTATATTTTGTGGTTTTAATTTTGTTAAAATATATTATTAGAAATTTTTTTTAAACTCTTTCATAATGGACATCATTTTGTCTGAATGTCAGGTTTTAATGAGTTACATTCAAAACTTAATTAAACCACTTTCTTATCATGGTATATAAATAAGTTTGGCATAAAACCATAGCTAATAATCTAAATTTTAACAATATATAAGACTTAAGTTCTTAATTTTATAAAGCAATATTAAAAAAAAACTTAATTTCCTCTAGTATGAGAATTGTGACATTTGCTCGGTAAGTATCCCTCTTTTGTAATTTATTTACCATCCCTCTAACAAGTATGAAATTTGATGTAAATTACTCATTATAATGTTGTCATCACTCATACAAGGCATAATTTGTACAGCCTTCAACCTTATTTGGTTACAGAGCCATATAATAGAAAATCTGTCACTCCCACCAGTCACATCCTCTCAGACATTCAGTACTATACTATTTATAACCAATAGAAAGCCAAGGTTTTAATCTAACAACTGAAAAATTATACTATGTTGTTTTTTTTGTAGAGAGAATTGTCTATTTCACTTCACTGAAAACTTTATTCCCACAGGAAACACATGGACAAGCTTAGCTGAATTTCTAACAGCTTTTGTCACATAGTTAGAAAGCCCAAAAATTGTGATAGTTATGGGACATTGACTGTTTGTTGCTTGTTATTATTCCATGTTATTTGGTGCATTATTTAACTTTAAAAAATTATTCAGTTCACTAGTACCATTAGTATAAAAAAAAAAAGTAGGGTTAAGTGTCAACAACAGTTGAGAGAAAAAAAGGAAGACCCAGGTAAGTACTTTATTTCTTGTTTTTTCATGTGTATTCTTTATTTATTATTATAAAAGTAACTAAAATGCAGAAATTAGGAACTTTTATGTCAGGTAATGTTAAATTACGTAAAATAACGAATAATAATTTTTCACGAGGTATGCTTGTTTGTAGTATGTGCATTATGTAATTCAGTAGGGTAACATGAGCTCCAGATTCACCATTGGCTTTACAAGTTTTATGTTGACAGCATTAACTCCAAAATATACTTACGTCTTCTCACACTACAGCAATTACTCTACTGCCAGGGTTTCTTCCTTTGTCCGTCTAAGCATTGGTCTGATTTTTTTTTGCTTGCTCCTCTTTTATGCTCCACGTAATTGCTCTTGGCAGTATTTGTTGAGTGCCACTCATCACCTATGTCAATGCGCCCTCTAACCTGATACTGTATATAAGTACCTCATTCAGATGACAAAGCATTCACTAACAAGGTTCTCTGTACTATGATCATTGGAGATACATTGAGTGTTTTTGTGTTACCCAGTTGATTTTTGTGTAAAAAAATTTTTTTTCGTTTGGCAAGACAATATATGGTGTTAGTATCTGGATTATTATTTCTGGCACAGAAACAAATCTGGTCTCTTTTATCCCACCTGTGATATCTAGTGTCGCTCCACAATTGGAGTGGGGTGGAGAGAGTCAATCTCAGTTGAGACTGGCAGTGATCTTATTCGTAGTAAGATGGTTTGGTGGTGTACCTCCAGGAGGCTCTGAGGCTGCAATTCAAGGCAATTCTGGAGAGAATTTTGATTTGCTTTTTTCTGCACCTTCCTATACTCTGTTGACTTCTCAGGAGGTCACTTTGGGATAAGCTGCCTCAGGCTCCTTTTCTTCAGTTGATCCCTCGAGTGTGTGATCTTTTGGGTCTTTCATGATGGCTGAAAGGTTTGGGAGCAAATACTTAGTTTTCTCTCCATCCACTGACATTGTGGTTCATGTAGGGAGGTTTACTGCTCAGTTATCTAAAGGAACAGCTATGCCTTGCCTACCAAGGTTGTCGGAACTACGTAATTTAGCTTACCACTGCCAAGTGGAAGCATATTCCAACTCTCAAAGAATACTTCTGCTGCTGGAAACTTGGGGTTCTAGAGCAGAGTCTGTAGTTAACCTGAACTTTCTGGGATTTGTCTCCCTCTATATACAGTTCCGAGTTATTTATTATCCCTCTAAACTTTGTTGGAAGACTTTCAGGATCATCAAGTCCATTGATGATGAGTTGGGACCATTGTTAGCATGAACATTTGTTGATTCAGGGCTTCTACATTCATCCCTGTTGTTGTTGCATCACACCTTTCCATGGCTTCTACAGAGGATCATAGTTCCACCCCTATTCGATTAGATTCTGTTCATATTCAAGGGGTACACTGCTTGGTCAGAACGTTGTCAGTGGCATCAGTGACTACTGTGTGTCTTTGGGGTCTGTAGGGGGTCGAGCTTCAAGAATTTTGGAAGTATGGTAAACCATAACCATGGATTCATGGGCACAACAGGTCCTTGAGTCAATATTAGTCATTTAGTTGACGTCTTCACCACAATGATCCATCCAACCTGTGGTGTTTCCTTGTCCTGCAGATTCTTGGATCTTGGAACTTCGTTCTAGGGCTATCAGCGTTTGGTTAATCTGGGGGTAGAGAGAGAGTCATGCCAGTTCTTCCAGGATTTTATTTCTGTCAGTTTGTTGGGCCCAAAAAGATAAAAGACCGGTGTCTAGTCATCGTTCTTTCTTGTCTGTATCAATTCCTAGATTCTCCAAGGTTCATAAGTGACTCATTCCTCACTCTGAGTTGGCATTTTTTACTAGGATTGTGGATGTCCATGTTTGATAACTTCAGCTCTTATCTGCACATTGCCATTATTACCCTATTACCACTATCGGCATTTTTGTGAACATGAGTCAGATACTAGTATTGGTACCATATGGGTTCTGCCAAATCGTATGACCTTTTTCTCGTCACCTCCGTTCCCTAGCTCAGTGCACACATCATTTCCTGGTCGACTGGTTACCACTGGCACCGTCTTTTCAATTATCAGAACATAAAACCAGGATTCTACTTTCAGAAACAACCAAGACAGGTTTCATTATCAGAGCCGAAACATTTGTTCTCGCTCCAACACAATATGTCGTCAGTCTGGGTATTTTTTCGTCATGTATCTCAGTCGGCCTTAACATGCTATGGAGCAGGAAGTTTGACTTTTACTTACCTCTCCCACTGCATGGATGGTTCTTTCTTTTTTGGGAATGTGGACATCACTTAAATCTCTCATGCCTTTGGGACGAGCGCACAAGAGATCCCTTCAGTGGTCTTTATACGACTACTGAATCATAAACAGTGATTTACTGTATTCCACAGTTCCTTATTCAGGATCATTCAGTTTTGAGGAGTGGTCAGATTGAAACAATTCTAAGATATTGGATTCTCTGCTGCCGCCTTGTTCAGAAATCCATCTCTCCACAAATGTCTCATTTCTGGGGTCTACACATGAATGATGAGGCTTCCCTACACAATGTTTTACACATTCTTGATCTCCAAAAGGTGATGTCTTATGGTCTTGGATTATTAAGGGGAAAATCGTCAGGTTTCATTCCGACAATTCAATGGTGGTATCTTGCATTTACCTCAAGGAGGCACTTGCTCCAGGGCTCTTTCTTTTCAAATCTTGAATCTCCTTTCTTAGGACCACTCCTATTGTATCACCTTACCAGCTTCCCATGTTCTATGGGTGATGACTTTAGTGGCAGATCAATTGCCTTGACCCAAACAGATTCTCCCAACAGAATAGATGCTTCATCATAATTTTTCTGTTGATTTGGCTCTCATTTTGAAATGCTGATAGTTGGTGGGTTTACCACTTATTGGAACACCCAACAACTGGCAATTTGGTCTACAGTACCTCACCCTCTTGCTTTGGCAATAGATACATTCAGTCAGGACAGGACTACAACTCTAGAACTTCCCTCGAATTCATATTTTACCCAAGGTACTAGCTATGATTCATTCCAACCCATTGTTGGGTCTTATTGATAGCATCGGATTGGAAGCTAAACCCTGGTTTATGCTCCTGTGGCACCTTTACGATTGCCTACCTCTTTCACGTCCTCTTTGTCCGTCTATGTGGAGGCAACCAGACACCCGTGTTATCCAGAAACTCAGGCTTCAGGCACAAAGGTTATTCAGTCCTTCGTGGCATCGGGGTTTAATTTCTGAGATTGCTATGTATCTGTCTTGGTTATTGCATAGTCCCAAGATAGACATTTATCAACAGAAATGACACACATATGGGCAATGGTGTATTGAGAGGAGGTTGAACCCACTTTGATCAAAAATGCCAACCTGGCTCTTTGGCAACAGTTTTGCATCTTCCACAGTTGCCCTGTATAAGGTGGCCTTATCAAATTCCATTCAATACTCAAGACAAAAATTCTTTGAGTCCCCAATACTCTCAGGCTTCCTCAATTCACTTTGAATCCTTTATTCCAAATGACCATTCCAGTTACATAACTGGTATATTACCAGTTACATTTCGTCCCCTTTCTCAACACCCATTTGTGACCTTAGCCTCAAGTGCCCGTATATCACCTTTCCCTGAAGGTTTATTTTTCGTTGCTGCTGGCTGACCTACAGACATTGCTGGTCAGAGTGGTTTGTGCTGATTAAGCACAGGATGTTTTATCATTCTACCTAAGTCCTCAGATCAGTTCTTCTTCCCTAACAATGTCAGTTAGAGAAGGGGGATAAGTTCTTTTCACCAAATCATCTGATCACTATTTCTCACTTCTTTGACCGATCACATTTGGATCGTTTGTTATGTCTAGTGAGGGTCTTGAAGTTTTTGTTGCCCTTACTAATGCTTTTACAGATGCTAGACAATGATTTATTATTCATTGGTATTATTTCTTTCCCAGGATTTATTCTTGGTACATTGACGAGGTGGGTTCAAAATTGATCCATATCATTTATTCTGGTCTCTCTTGAAGTAGAGGAATCTTCTGCAAGTCAGCTCTGATCATATTCATCACATTTCTATGCCCTTAGCAACCAGGTTGATTTACCCACTAGAGGATGTTGTGTGGGCTGGTATGTGGACCTCCCCCAATACTTTTATCTCACATTATTTGCATGATCTAACAGTATCTTCCTCTGAGGGTTTTCAACTACCCTCTGTAACTATCTTAACCACTTCCGCTAGATTACACAGAGGGGTGAGTATTTTGACTGCTACCTTTCAGGGTCCCTTACCTCATTGTGGCGAGTGTTGCCCAAGCAGGTGTGCTTTTATCAAACCAATTCTGCTTTAGCAAACATTTATCTAGGTTATAACTGGCTCTGTATAAATAGTGTTCCATAAACCACGTAGAGTCTGACCGGGTGGTATTACTGTACTGCCACTCATGAACTATTATGAGTAAAGGGGATTTCGCTCATCCTTGCCAATCATTGGATTGAATAAATCAAGGTTAGTTTGCTTTTAAAAATTTAGGGTACTTGGTTCACCTATTGCACTGTTCCTTAGAGCTCCCCAGTGTGCATTAACCCCTAGATTCTACTAGTAGAGCTAGGGAGTCCTAACCACACCTGGTTACCAGTCACTGGGGAGGTAGACAGAAGCTTTTCCTCCAGAGTGTTAGAGTGAATTTCCTCCACTCTTGGAGAAGAGGACGAAGTTGGGAGCCCTCTTACTCGGGTTCTTGGATTTTTTTTCCCCAGATGACAGTAGGAGAGGCACCACCTTACGCGGAGCCTACTCATAATACCAGTTCAGATTTTATGCTTGGCTATCCGGTTGGGTTGAACATGGCCCATCTTTTTGATCAATATGGCTTCAGTACATTGTTCATGGAAGAGGGTCTATTGTTTCCTCATAATTCCAAACACAGAGTGGTTCCATCCTGGGTCCTTGGATGAGCACAGTTTGTTCCACTTGCCCCCATAATTATGGGGGCAAGTGGAATTTACCTTGCTCACATGGTTTGGAAGTGAGGATGAGTTATATTTCCTCAGGTTGAGCAAGGCATACAAGGTCATTCAGACCCTGGGGTGTTGCCTTTCGAACTTCTTCAGGTTGAGAAGAAAGTTTGTCTACTTCGATGTTGCTTACCTTCTCGTCATAATTCAGGTGGCTCAGAATGCATCACTCTAGTGAGAGAGGAAGCAAGTATGTTTGGGAAGTTAACATTTTCTTAAATTGAAAATGTATTTCCAATAATACTTACCCTCCACTAACACTCTCTCACCCTTCCTCCCCACTAAGAGTTGGTGTTAGAGACTAGGAATTGAATCAGTCTTGAAAAAGTGGGAACATTATCTGAATGAGATGCTTATACACAGTTCCAAGATAGTGTTACGAGACAAATATCGCCAAGCACAATTAAGTGGGGTATAAAGGACTGGAGCAAGCAAGAACAAATCAGACTAACGCTTAGATGGGTAAAGGAA